TGTAATATCTATGTATTGTGTTTGCGCATCATCGAACAGCGGAGACTTGATGAAAGTAAATATCACTTATTGCACTTTATTTTTTATTTCATCTTTAGAAATAAATTAGTATTTTTTTCGTAATCATTAAAATTCCCAATGAAATGCTTTATTTTACTTTCATCTTATAATATAGGAGAACATAAATTAATTGAGCCTAACCTGTCCGTATGGATGAGATTGGCCCTACACTTTTAGTTACTTACTAGAAAATAAATTAAATTATTCGAATTTATGATATTCCTGTATGATCGTTTTTATTCATATAAAATTCTATTTTACTATCTCATCCCGGAATTTCCCGGGATCCCGGGAAAAGAAATTATTTGTCCCGTAATCCCGCTGGAGGCAAATTTCCCAGGAAATGAGAAACCCTAGCCCCAAGTCATCTCTCAAACATTTCACTGGAAAGAGAAAACGGAAAGTTTAAAGTTGTTTATTTACCTCCCAACGTTACTTCAATCCTCCAACCGATGGACCAAGGGGTCATTGAAAGCTTCGAACGATATTACAGGAAGGCATTGCTGCATATGGTAATAATCGGGGAAGAATGTGAAAAAACAATTCAGCGTGTTCACACTGAGATTAACTTAAAGGATGCTATGTACATGGCAGCAGAAGCTTGGGCTACTGTCAAGGACAGTACACTAGCAACAGCTTGGAATAAGCTCCTACCATCAGATGAGCCTATCACTGCACCTAAAGAGCCAACAAGGAGCAAATTTGAATCACAGCTGTTTGGCCTCATTAAAGATTGCTCTGGATTTGAAGAAATGTGATAAAGAAAACATTCAAGACTGGCTTAATTGTGATGTCACTGACCCTGGCTATCAAATATTGTTGGACGATGAAATCATTGCCAATGTTATCGATGACCAAGACCCCTGCGATGATGAGGAAGAGCCTAACAACGCTGACCGTGCTGAAAAAGGACCATCCAGTGAGGAAGCTTTTCATTGCCTTGAGATGGCTCTGAAGTGGTTAGAACAGCAAGAAGAATGTGATGCTATCCAATTGCTGTCTTTAAGACATGATTTAGTGGCAAAAAAGCGACTCTCAGCTGTGAAGCAAAAGACAATTTTGGACGTTTTTTCTTAAACTGTAGGCCTACGTTATGTAAGGTATGTAACATGTTTCTGTATTCAAACGTTTTTAATGTTAGATTAACTTCCAAAATATTATTTTTTTGTTTTTTATTTTTCAATATATTTTGTTTGTACAAAATAAAGAAATAATTTTTAATGATGCAATAGCCACAATTATTATTTTAAAAAATTTACGTTAGATTTAACATTGACAAAAATTCAACGCAAAGTGACACGCAATGGAGAAAAATTTCAACCTCAGATACGTTAAACTATTTTTTCGTACATAATCGGTTATCCAAAAAATAAGTTATCCGAAACACCCCAGTCCCCAATTGATTCGGATAAACCAGTGATTCCCAACCTGTGGTACGCGTACCCCTAGGGGTACGCGAAAGGTTGTTTAGGGGTACAGAAAAAAGTTAGTTATTATGGCAGAAAAAATAATATATTATGTATCAAAAACTAATAGTATTAAAAAATTATTAGGTAAAATATGTTCCTTGCAACNAGGAAGTTAGACAACGTAGAAATTTTACTACTTCATAATAAAACTGCGCGGTCAAATCGATTTTTAGAACTCAACAGGTAATACAAGTACTGAGATTTGAAATCGATCGGACTGCCACTTCAAACTCCAAACAAGAAAGTCGACTCGATGAGAATGTACTGTATTATGTCCGTTAAGAAAGGTCGAGATTTCAAACGCAGTGCATTTTGTGAGCCCGGACTAGATGAGAAATTTCATTCGACAACAAAAAAACATTTTTTTTCAAAAGTTTTTTTGTTGTTCAACCTCTAAATTTTACATATAATATGAAAAAAATTATATTTTTTTCCAACGCTTAATAAAAATTGAAAGATGTGATTGTATCTTTCCCCGGACTCACTTTTTTCTAAGGTGACACATCTTCCTTCCGAATGTGTCACCAGAAACCTAACGACCAAAATTCGTCTATAGGACGTAGAACTTAGCATTACCAAAGATGGGCGTGAGAAGAAAAGAAGAGCGCCCCTAAATAAAAGAGAAAAATCGATGACGACGAGGCAGCTCGCCGTCTCCAGAGTTCGTCACTCATCTTTTTTCTCCCAAAACTACGATACATCGCCCATCCTTCCGGCCGTTGCCTAGATCGAATGCCTTGGACCAAACATCCAACTATCTGAACTTTCATCCTACCTACCCGTCATCAATTGATCCACATCGATCTTCTTCACGTCTAACATATCTGACATTCTACCACCAGACGTCCTCCGAACTACCTATTCGCCGAGTATCCTCGATATCGACCTCTCCAATAAGCGAGGAATCGACCTCCTCGGCTACTTAAATACTCAAAGTATTTACCAGCACGCGACCGAATGTAAACTCCCTCTCTCGCGCGCGGTTAGGGATAAGCTGCGATAGTCCTAAAAAGTCTATATTGAAATTCCTGACTAACCTACTATAGCTGTAAATATATATATATATATATATATATAACCCATGTAAATAAAACGGTATTTGTTTACGTTAAATCTGTAGTCGAGTGCACTTCTTTCGGACGCGCTGTCTCTCGGACTTCTTATATCCCGAATCCGAACGCCTATAAGCGCGACCGCTCGCGCGTGAAACCAACGTCTAACGGTAATGCTATTTCTAGATCTCTTAAGGCACATTGATATCAGTCCTGACGTGGCATCCCGATGTGATACCGACCCTCCGGTCACAATTTCATCTGCCACGTCCAAAATAAAGAGTGAGAAGTCAATTGTTACGAAGTTACAAACTTTTTTATATCGATCCACAAAAATTGTACGTTAAAAAAAGTTGTCCCCTTTAAATTCCGTTCCGTTGAGAGAAAGTTTACGGCAGTTTGCATTCATTCATCATAAACAGAGAAACAGAGAGAGAGAAAAAAACTTTATCTGGGAATTTAAAAATTCGAAAAAACATAAACAACATTATTAGTTTAATTAATAAAAATAACCATTTTATTTTCATATTTTATTAATAATACATCATTCGTAAAATTANATGTAAAATTAACAATACGAGCACTCACTAAATTTCTTAAATGAGGGGTACAATCTAGAGATATGACATGACACGGGGTACGCTAATGAAAAAAGGTTGGGAACCACTGGGATAAACAATGCTCTACTGCATTATAGTTATCACGTTAAAATTTACATTGCTTAATTGTTTTGGGTATATTCCTTATATTTATTTTCTATCCTTCAATTATTTATTTATTAATGGTGCACAATTATTTACTATTAATATTTTCTTACAATTTTATTATAGTACTATAATTTGGGATAAATAGAAACAAAACTTAAAGAACAGTTTATATGTATCTAACAAAGAAACTAACCAACACATCAGAAATTTCTCAATGCTATCTCTTTGGACATTATTTTTTTCAAAGTATGAGCATTGTTTTGTAGGCTGGCAGCATTGTTCTAGAAATGAGTGTTTGCATGTTCTGGTAATTGGCTATATGCTTTCAATGTTTAACAAACTGTTAGCATATGTCATATTATAAGACTCATTTCATTAAAAAGTTGTGTTAGAATTTTGATTCTTAGTATCATTTCATTAAATTTTTATTGAAATTGCTCATATTTTCAATGCTGTTTTTTTATAATCATTGATCTCCTATTTTGTGATATAATGATTTTGAATTTGTGGGCAAAGAAAAATGCAACAAAAATAGCTGTTTCTATTTATCTCTTGCAACCTTTTTCAATACCAGTGGTTTAAAATTTGAAGAACTCTCTAGCTCTGAAATAGCTAAATTGTTCTAATGGTATATTTTCTTATTAGTCTTTATTTATCTTAGGGAAGACATTTCTCTTAAACTTGATGACTTCTTTATAGAAAAGATATATGGGAAAAAGGGACTCCGGCAGACTATATGTTACTAAAGTTGAAGTTGATGGATATGTTGTGCTTTTCTACAAGACACCATAGACTATGAGATTTTCAGATACGTATGAGGAATCTTACTTCACTTATGAAGTTGTTGCTAAGATACTCTCTGTCCCATTATATTATTAGTTCTTTGTCATACTTCAAAAACATGATTAGTTTTCCTGATGACTTCAGTGGCTTAAGTATTTTTTAAAAGCTGTGTAATTTGTATTTGTTTGATCAGTTTTTCAGATTACCTAAGCAACTTAAGCAGTTTTTTCTTAAAGCTTGTTTTCTTTCTGTATAAGTTCTGTAATGGGCATAATATAAAGCTTAATTATCTAATGAACAATTTTTGCAAAGAAAAATCATTTCCTTTTGTCCTTCTAGTTATGAAACAGAAACAAACATGACTTATGTTACTGTTGCTTTTCACTCCTGCCTACAGATGAAAGGAAACATCAGATAAAAAGACAAAAATATGAATTTAATTACCTCATATATCATCTTTTGAAGTTAAGGAAGATAAGACTAATTTTTTAAGACAACTTGCAAGATCACATCATTAATGTTATTGGAGTTATTAAAAGCAAATAAATAATAAAACAATGGGATCGGTTATTGTAAATATTAAAACTAATAAATTCCAAAAAATGTTTCCTTTTTTCTTCCATATATATTTCGCTTATCAGTGGACATTACAGACCTTCTTCTTCTCAGTTTATACGGAGAGTATAGCTCAATGTAGGCTCTTTCTCCGAAAGACGTTAATGATCGCTATGCGACCGATGAGCCAGAACTCCGAACGGCCTAAACGCGCGCGCGGGAAAGAATGCCTTCCGAGAGGACTTTTATGGGGAACTGGCCTCCTATTCAGTCGTTATTGGAAAAGAGAAAACCCGGAAAACTCCAAGCAGCCAGCATGTCCGATCGCGGCGCGAACTCGCGACCGAACTTCCCAGTGTTCAGAGTGCTAAGACCGCTCGGCCACTGGTGGGGTCCGGACATTATAGTTTTACATTGCCAATACTGTACAGTACTTTTATACTCTATCAAGCTAACCCAGCATGCATCAACACACGCGCCGGTATTTAAATTAATACAATTTACATATCCTTTGATACAATAATGTTCTATAACACGTCTTTTTACAAGATTTCTTACTTTGTACAATATTTTAATATTATTTCGGTCAATAATACATTTTGTTATACATTCGACCCCCCTATAAGACGGTAGATACGTTCCGTCCTTTATGAATCGATTTCTTACGAGTCCTTGCCAATCACAGCCCGACACGCAGAGGCGGCGTAAGGCGTGGGCGACGTGGGCCACCGCATACGGCCTCGCTATCCGAGGGGCCTCGCGCTTTGTAGCGTTCGCGCAGTAAACTATCTCATAAATAATGGAGTTAAAAATCGAATATTAAATATTAATCCCAGGTCATCTTTTAAACTTTGAGATTTTCGTAGCTAGAATCTGCTGTTGGTAGACGCAGCTAATTTTTCTGTGGCAGCAAAAACATTTTTTGGTTTTATTCAGAAAATTTATTTCCTATTTTCAAGTTCCAGCAAACGCTGGGAATTAATCAAAAGCAAATTAAAGCTTACTTTGAAGCCTTTATCAGACACAAGGTGAGAAAACAGAATCGAGGCAGCGAAGGCCGTATTATTCCAATTTGATGTTGAATGCATCGAAAGCTTAAAAAATCAAACGGAACAATCAGACACACTCAGTGATTGTGATTCGGTTTTAAACGAAACGCTCAGTTTAGAATTTATCATATCATTACATGTATAGTATGAGATATTATCGCGTGTTAATATCGTAAGCAAATTATGGCAATCTTTACAAGTCCATTTAAGCAATGCTCTTGAACATTTGCGCACATTTTATGACCGGATCAAAGAATATCGACAAACTGGATTCGAAAAATGCTTGTCTGACGCTCGTCAATTTATTGAGAATAGCAGTTATGAACTGCCAGAAAACTTTAAAAACGAAAGGGTAACCAAAAAGAAAAGGATGTTCGATGATGAAGGCAGCGATCAACCTATACAGTCTCCCAAAAGCGGGCATGAAACAGATTTTTTTAACACCACGATTGATTCTATAATAAGCAATATGGATTCGGGTTTTATGTCTTTAAATCAACGTTTTGAAAATTTTGGTTTTCTCTATGATCTAAGCGAGTTAAAAATATTTCAAAAGAGCAAATATTAAAAAACTGTCAAGATTTACATTCAGTCCCGCGAGCGAGTGAGAGCAGTGACTTACAACCTTACGAATTATACGAAGAATTACAAATGATGATCCCAAATTTACCCAACTTCATTAAAGATGTGAAACAGCCGCTCCAATACATAACAGAAAATAACTCGAAAGAAATTTACTCAAATATTTACATTGCCGTTCGAATTTTGTTAACAATACCGGTAAGTACTGCCTGCGCCGAAAGGAGCTTTTCAATATTAAAACTAATAAAAAATTATTTAAGAAATACAATGGGTGAGGAAAGACTTTCAGCTTTGGCAGTTTTATCTATTGAAGCATATATAGCATATAAGCTGAATTACGATACAATTATTAAGGAGTTAATTTCATCAAAAATACATTTCGTTTTATTCCTAAAGGACAATATGATTTATGATTACATATTTTTTCGTACTTACGAAACAGCAATGTTTCATTTTGTCTTGTAATTGTGACATCTAAGTAATTATAATTTCATAGATTCTTTCTTCTTCATAGGTAAATTTAATGTTATTATTTAAACTATTTGCATAAATCTTGATGTTTTCGGCTGTTGTGTCATATGAGTCGTACAAAATTAATATGTCATCCACATATCTAGTATAAAAGACAACTGGAAGATTTTTTCATCCAAAGATGCCACGCAAATACTGCAACACAGCAATATAACAAAATGTATTATTGACCGAAATAATATTAAAATATTGTACAAAGTAAGAAATCTNATTTATATTTGTTTATTTATATCATGCTTTTTGCTTACTTTTATTTTTGTATGTATGTTGTATTCGCTGTTGTTTTATGTGCGGAGCTTTATTTGCAGAGGTGATCTCTTGTTGTTTAGAACATTATTTTATTTTGGTTAAAGAAAATAAAGAATGTTTTTATAAACTTTATGAATTCTTAAAAAGATGACTGTTACTTATTATTTGTTTCTAACTTACATTTTATAAAGATATAATAAAATATTTTACATTATTAATGAAATATTTTATTTAAATTTCAGAAACCAATACCAGTATCAGAAAATTTAGATCCGTTGGCATTGCTAATAGATGATGTTACAATTGCACAATGGAATAATCAAGGTCTTCCTCAGGATAGAATGTCCACAGAAAATGCCACTATTTTAAAAAATACCAAACGTTGGCCTTTGATGATTGACCCTCAGTTACAAGGAATTAATTGGATTAAAAATGAATATGGAACTAAGTTAAAAATATTGAGACTGGAGGAAAAAAGGTAAACATATAGTGTCTACCTCTTGCATGCAAGCTATAACTTGCAAAATTATTCTGAATCATTTTACAACATCCATGTCCACACCAATTATAGACAAGATAACTCGGGACTTATGAAGAATCTGCAAGCATTATTAACAATGATATAATTTATAAGTAAAATGAACAAATTCAAGCAGCTAAAACTTACAATATTTAATCAATAAACCTTTACAAAATTAGAAGGTATAAATTTGACATTGCTCAATTGTGCTCATCTTTTATATTGTTAAAGAAAGTAATGACTGTTTTATTTGACACCATTTTAATACAGCCAGAAAAAAACCTTTTTTTTTAGGAGAATGAAAGACTTTTACATTCTTATTTTAATATAAGTTATACCTGTCACACTTGAAACTGAAAATATGATAAAACAGTCTTGTTAAAAATTAATTCACAAACTAATTTTATTCCTGTAGACAATTTTTATATGCTTTGTCAACAGTTTTACTTACTGATAAATATCTAAAATTTAGTGGTACCAAATGAAGTAGACACACAGTGTCTTACAAAATTGACTTGATCAACTGAAGTGCCAAGTTATATAGTATCAATTGGCTAATAAAAATTGTTTTCTGAAATTTATTGATTTTTGGTATTTTGTCTTATTTTTTTTTTGTTAAATCTGGACCATTTAATGTATTTTATTAATTTTTATACTATAGATATATTTTATTTTTTATTTTATTTATTTTTATTAAAGAGCTTTGGCTGTCAAAATAGAGATAGATAGATAGATAGGTTTCTGTGAAAAGGTTAAGAGGGTAACAGTTTGGGTAGAGAAGGAGAGGAGAGTTAGTAAAAGTGATTTGTAGGATTAGGGATGGATAGATAATGAGAGTAGTTGAGGAGAAGGGAAAGGATCTTCTGATTGCCCTGCTTTGCAATTGTTAGTAGTTAAAAATGCATTTACAGTTATTTACATAATGCAAATACATTATGTAAATAACTGTTTTTACATAGTTATTTACAATTTTGGCTGTTTGAAGAACTTCTTGTTATTGATGTTGATTTCAGTTGAGTGATGGCTCAACTGAATTCAACATTCAACACTTCCAGATGTCTTGCATCTTCTGTTCCCTGAACCCAAGTTTACTTCTTGAAGTCAAGGGGTGGTGGAACAAGAAGCAGAAACAGTCACACCAGAACTGGGAGGGATAGAGAAGACTATACAGAAGTAGATGAGATTGCTTAACTTGTTTGGTAGTTCCTTATTCTTACAGAATTCATCCAGGTTGGGAGGCCACTTGTATCCCTGCCTGAGGCAATAATGGAGCAGTTCCTCCCGTGAATTATCATGTCTGGGACAGTGGAAGAGGATATGGATTGCATCTCCCATTGTATTCCTGAAACAGTCACATTTGTTATTTGTCCTTTTTTTGAAACAGTGGAAAAGAGCTCACCCAATGCAAGCCCAGTCATGCTTTGGGTGAGCTCGAAACCAAGGGTGAAGTAGTCCATTTTCTGCTGTTGGTGAATTGAAGGAAGAAATTGATAAGTGAGTCTACCAGTGTTGGAGTCAGTCTATTCACTTTGCCAGTTAGCAAGTATTTTAGCAAGTATTTTGTCATTGATGTACATTCACTGGCCAATGAATTAGAAACAGCAGTTTAATATTTTATTGGACCACCTTTAGCTCAAATTACATTATTTACTCAATTTGGCATGGATTCTACAAGGTGCTGAAGTGCTTCTAAGTCCAATGCACACCAGGAATTCACTAGACTTTCCTTTAGTTTGCACAGATTTGATGGAAGCAATCTGGAGTATCTGTTGTTCTCAATGGGGTTAAGATCTGGGCTCTGTGGAGGTCAGTGTGGGTGGGGAAAGTCATCTTCATGCTTACTGAACCACTGCTGAACAATTCTTGCATGATGAACAGTAGCATTGTCATCAAAGAAAGAGCTGTCACATGCAGGAAAAAAATGCAACATTGCAGGTGAACATGATTGGCAACAATGTTCGGGTACTCAATGGAAGTCATCCAATTCTTCCAGAAATATCAGCAGACAGTTTCGTCTCAACAGAACATGCCTCATATCATAACATCCCCACCAGAACCTTGAGTCATGTTAATGACTCAAGGTTCTGGTGGGCAAGCACGCCTGCCGTAAGCGGGTGTGCAAGGCGTGCACCGCACACGGGCGGCACGTTCAGAGGGGCGGCAAATCGAGCAATTGGTCATGTAATATTCAAAGTCATTGTCATAATACCCACCCTACTTATAGCATAAGAAATGTCTTCGCATGGAGAAAAAATCTGACCGGCGCGCAATTACTATATTCTTATTTATATTATAGCGTTAACAGCGCCTCTATTGGCATTTATCAGAATTAAGATGCAATGCAAAACGTCTGTCGGCAGGTTGAACCATCCAGCGGCGCCCGAAAGCCAAGTACTCATAGTCGTGCTCTATGACAGAAGTTGACAGGACTGGCAAAAATAGGCAATCCCCACAGAGCTTCCTTCTCAATTTGTACTTGTATGCATTCGAACAGTTCTATCGCATATCAAATTGCAATTATTTTGTTAATAATTCTTCTGACATGGGTCTAAGTATAATTAATGATATTTTAACTTGGTTAGGATTTATATCTGAAGCTTAAAGACGATTCAAGTAGTGAAACAGACATTGACGGTATTGATTTGTTTAATGAAATCAATACTTTCAAGTTGCATTTTCCAGAAAAACAATTCTAATGATCTACAAACCCTATTACAATAACTTTTTACTAATGATTTAATTTCAACATTTCCGAACACAGGAATAGCACTAACTTATATTGCCGGTTTCAGTTGCATTTGGTGAAAGGTCCTTTTCAAAGTTAAAAATTATAAAAACTATTTAAGATCAACAATGCACCAGCAAAGACTAAGTAATTTTGCTATAGTTTCAATTGAACATGAAATCTTAGACAGCTTGGATACAAGAAAATTTATAGCAGATTTCGCAAACATAAAGCAAGAAGAGTTCAATTTCTGTAGATAAATATTTATATGGTTTTACACTTAAGTAAACAAAAATAACTTAGTAATAATAAATAGTTTTTCTTTTAAGTATTTCTTTTCTTTTTTCACACCTTTATGAGACAATTCTAAAGAGCCTTTCTGGCAAGCTCAACGTAGGTAGTCGTAGTTAAACTGGGGGCGGCGTAATCGGTATTGCACACGGGCGATCAAACAGCTAGCGGAGGCAAGCATGGTCCATTGCTTCATGGGCTCCCTCCAAACCTTCTGTCTACCATCAGTACAGAATAAGGTGTACCATGATTCATCTAACCACATTACTTTTTCCAGTCCTCAGATGTCCAATCACAGCACTCTCGGCACCACTGTAGACATACTTTCTGATTCTTTGCAGAAATCAGTGGTTTTCATATAGGTCTATGACTGTTCATACTGATTCTTTTCAGTTCCCTGCACATAGTTCAGGTAGATATGGGTCGGGATGGGATTCATTAAATTCTTTTGTCAATTGCTGCACAGAGGAAGCCCTTTTTCTCACACTAGTCTTCTCAGACAATATCAGTCACATTCCTGATTAACTGTTTTGGAGCCACAGTTACTTCTTCTAGACATCAACTGCAAGTTATTTTTCCACTGATTGAAGACTTGGAATATCTCACCTTTAGAAAAACCAGTCAGCTCTACAGTTCTTGATATCATGGGTCCAGTGAGATGGGCATCCACAATCAGCACTTTTTGAAACTCTGTCAAGTCCTTTGCTTTTCCCATTTTCATAAACTTAATGACAATACTACCAACAGAATTCTTAAATAGGAACTTATGAATATGTGGTAACTCACATGACTCAAGTGTTTTGCATATAAGCTGCAAAATTACATTTACATAATATGCATGGGAGTTTCTAATTCATTGACCAAGTGAGTGTAGTTAGTAATGTAGGTGGGACAGATTCTGGAGAAGATAGGGCTGATGTCAAGTGAGGTTGCCTACTTTGCTAATACATCCACCTTTTCATTACCAAGGTACCCAGTGTGCCCAGAAACCCAAAAAAAAACTATGCATTTTCTCTTGCTAAGGTGTCTTGCTAGTTGGATAGTGGTGGTCAGTCTCTGTAGATTTCCTTGCATCTTCAAGTACCCCAGAACATACATGCTATTGGTGTAGAAATTTATGCTACCACTGTATTTGCTGGGGTTTCTGGTGATTGTTAGGAATACTTTATTCATCACCCATAATTTGGCTTGGTTGCTGGAACAATGCTGGCTAAGTTTATAGTGTTCTTTGTGGTTCCTTTGCATGAGGCTTTCATAAATAATAATTGCAGCCCCAGTACCTTTCTCATTTTTAGCTTCATCAGTGTAAATGTGCCTATTTACTTTGGCTTGCTCATAATAGATATATATTTAGATATATAATACAGTAGACTAAGGGGGGATTAAAGGAACTGAACAAGTAGAAAATAAATTAAATAATAAATAAATAAAAATAAACAAATGGGGATTAAACCCCAAAAATCTCATTTTCATGGCCTTGCTTATGGCTCTGATTCAATAATCTTTGTCTTCATCCATATAAATAATCTGGAGTTTATTAGTTTTTCTGATTTTCCAACAGTTGTTTTTGCAGATATACCAAAATTTTTTTCTGAAGAATCTGTTTTTATTTCATTTAAAAGAATTTATCTAACTACAAAATTCTGAGAGTTAATAAGAATTTCTTGCACTTGAATGTTATTAGGCAAAAAATGTCTGTAGGTTTCCATGATAATGATGTGCTTATTATTTTTTTCCTGTATATCAAAGGAAACTTCTCATTGTTTTACTTTTATCAAAGCTTATTTTTAGAAAAATTAATGAATATTTGACAGATAATACAATATTTTATACATAAACTAGAATTAAAATATGTTGTTATAATTCATTTCTAGGAAACTGTGAATCATTTCTTGTAATTGATACCATCAACTGGAAATTACAAATTATCAAACAGAAGCTAAATTAATAAAATATTTTATTTCAAAAAGAAATTAATTGTTATAAAATTAGTTTATAATCATATTTAGATTTAGTTAATTCATTTTTAAGCTTTTAAATTTCATATGAAAAGTTCAATAAATGCTTAATTTTCATAAATTACTTATTATTATATTTAAATACACAAAATTTTTTTAATGTAAAAACTTTTTGTTTTAAGTATTCTTATAAATGATATCTGAAGGATTATTCATGGTTATTTGCTGTGTAATTAATTTTTTTCATTTAATTTATTTGTAATATTGAAAGTCAATTAATAGTTTTCTGTATCTACATAATTTTAATTTTGTTAAATTTTTATTTTGTATTTTTAGTTTAATAAAATAATTCCATTTGTTTAATTTTTAAAATTAGCTATTTAGATAAAATTGAAGAGGCACTATCAGCTGGAAATACTGTACTAATTGAAAATATTGGAGAAAACTTAGACCCTGTTTTGAATCCATTGTTAAGTCGTAACACAATTAAAAAAGGAAAGTAAGAATTTTTTATATTTATCAAATAATATAAAATTTTAAAATTATTTGATTAGTTATTCATTTATTAATTATTAAAACAATTATTTGATAATGCTATTGCTTTGATAATTTATTAATGATTGAATTTCTAAAGAATAACATTAAAGATAATTTTAAAAAACTGATTAGCCATATAAACTTTAAATTGATTGTTAATAATGTAAAAGCTAAACAATAAATAAACTTTATTTGTTTAATTTATATTCTTTTAAGAGTTTCCTCTATAATTACTTTATAATTCTGGTAATTTCAACTAATATAATCTCTTATAATTGTGGTGTAATAATTTTCATTATGTTAATTAAGTAAAGTAATTAATTTATAGTATATATTTTTAAAAAGTAATATAATGTTTTTGTATGTAAAAAATATTTGAAAGTCCTTTAATTTAATGGTGATTAAGACTTTTTTCAAGAAAAATAATGGATAAATATTTAACATATCAAAGGAATAAATAGAAAAGAGAAACATTTTATGTTACAACAAATACAACAGGTTTAAATAAATTACTTAAAAAAGAACAGTAAAAAATTGTAAACAATTAATTATGTGTATCTATAATATTCGATATATTTTTCAGTAAAATATAATTTGAGATATTCATAAATTATTACAAAAGATGGATTTGTAAATTTAGAAATTTTGTTAAAACTATTTCTATTATGAGTTTTTGATTAAAGTTTTGATACCAGTTTGACAGCATAGTGGAATTATGTTTGTTTAAAATATATGTTACTAAAACAGTAGTGTATAAATCTTTTAATAGTCTTTACATAAATTAGTGTTTTTATATTTATTTGCTAAATCGGATAAAGTATTCAGTATATTCAAATTTTTCAAAACACTATCGTTAACACAGAAGCAATGAACAAATGTGGGGGCTGAGGGGGGAGAAATAAAAAAAACTCAATGAACGATAATAGGCGATATATATTGTCATCGTCTCCCTTTCCGTTTGGACTGCCAAGCGGTAACAATCAACGACATGTGGAAGCAGTTGAGTCAGAGATAGATGCTTCGTTTACAAACAACACAACCGTTTATTAAACACAAAAGAAGCTTACAAGATTTCCGCGATCTTGGAAGTTCTGCAGCGGCTGCGGCCTCTGGGTCTTCCTCTTCTTTCCAAGATAGTCCCATTTTGAAGGAGTGTCCCTTGTTCGCGAATGAACCATTCCATCATGTTTGACTAAGGGGGGATTAAAGGAACTGAACAAGTAGAAAATAAATTAAATAATAAATAAATAAAAATAAACAAATGGGGATTAAACCCCAAAAATCTCATTTTCATGGCCTTGCTTATGGCTCTGATTCAATAATCTTTGTCTTCATCCATATAAATAATCTGGAGTTTATTAGTTTTTCTGATTTTCCAACAGTTGTTTTTGCAGATATACCAAAATTTTTTTCTGAAGAATCTGTTTTTATTTCATTTAAAAGAATTTATCTAACTACAAAATTCTGAGAGTTAATAAGAATTTCTTGCACTTGAATGTTATTAGGCAAAAAATGTCTGTAGGTTTCCATGATAATGATGTGCTTATTATTTTTTTCCTGTATATCAAAGGAAACTTCTCATTGTTTTACTTTTATCAAAGCTTATTTTTAGAAAAATTAATGAATATTTGACAGATAATACAATATTTTATACATAAACTAGAATTAAAATATGTTGTTATAATTCATTTCTAGGAAACTGTGAATCATTTCTTGTAATTGATACCATCAACTGGAAATTACAAATTATCAAACAGAAGCTAAATTAATAAAATATTTTATTTCAAAAAGAAATTAATTGTTATAAAATTAGTTTATAATCATATTTAGATTTAGTTAATTCATTTTTAAGCTTTTAAATTTCATATGAAAAGTTCAATAAATGCTTAATTTTCATAAATTACTTATTATTATATTTAAATACACAAAATTTTTTTAATGTAAAAACTTTTTGTTTTAAGTATTCTTATAAATGATATCTGAAGGATTATTCATGGTTATTTGCTGTGTAATTAATTTTTTTCATTTAATTTATTTGTAATATTGAAAGTCAATTAATAGTTTTCTGTATCTACANAAATCTATTTAAAGCTGCTAATGTAATTTCAGAGCAATTCAATTAGGAGATAAAGAAATAGAATTTCATGATGATTTTTGTTTGATATTACAAACAAAATTAGCCAATCCTCATTATAAACCTGAAATACAAGCACAAACTACGCTTATAAATTTTACTGTTACCAAGGATGGACTAGAAGATCAGTTATTAGAAAAAGTAGTTAGTAAAGAGAGACCAGATTTAGAAAATAAAAAGGTATGTTTCAATATAACAAATTTTATTATCTATATGATTAAATTTTTAAATATCTATATTATTCAGAATTTTTTTAAATCGTATAAAAGAATTGGTGGAACCAGATTGAAAAATAAAGTCTCAGTGAAAACATGTAAATAAAGGAAACTTTTCAAAGTTGTGGCATAAGAATGGGGCCATGCGGTAGATTTTCTCAGTATGATGCAAGTCTTCGAAATGCCGCCTCTTAAATGTCACTTTTTAAATGCCGCTTATGCCACCTCTTAAATGCTGCTTATGCCGCCCCATTACAGTGCCGCCTGATGTGGCCGCATCTCTGCATCATAGCATAGCACGGTTCTGGTAAAAATACTGGAATCAGATTTGACAGTAAGACATGTGGATAAAGTGCACATTATACAGATTATAGGAAGTTTTGGATGAAGCAATGTCACAATGATAATAAATCAGGTAAAGAAGCATCAACTTTTGAAAGTTGTGCCTTAAAGCTCCTTCACTAATATTGTTTAAAGAAGCTCTAATGTTCAGCCAAATTATTATATGTCAATATTTGAAGTTTAAGACTATTTACAAAAATATATAAACATTTTTGAGTCTATCTTTTAATTCTTTAACACAACCACAGAATTAACAGTTATATTGGTTTGAAGAAAAACTTCATTAAAAGATGAATAATAATCGGTAAAAATTCACAAAGTTAAAAACAATCAAGCATCGGCCTTTTATTTGAGGATCTGATGCTTTTACATTAAAAACTAAACTATTACACTAAAAAATAAATCTTCTCACCAACTATCATGTCCTTCACCAATTTATAACTCAAAATGTTTGTATATTTTTGTAAGTAGTCTTAAACTTCAAATATTGAAGAAAAATATATTCGGAGTCATCATTGAACATGCAAATTATTATAGATGCAACAACTGAACCATAATAGTTTAAAAAATTAGAAATATTGGATCATATATTGATCATTGATATTAATAAAAAAGAGAAGCATCATTATCCATTTAGAATTACAAAAGAATCATCTAACAAATTTGCAAGATTTGAAAGTGGTATAAGTTCACTTTTGGAAAAAAATGAGTTAATTAATCATACTTTGTGTGAGATGTAGATATCCTCTTTATATTTATAATAACAAAGTCAATAATGTACAATACCCTCATAAATTAATCAAAAGAAGTTTAACTGTAAAATGTTATCACAAGAATGTTGTTTTGAAAGTGGAATAAGTCCATTAATAATAATCAATAATTGAAACAACTTAGTCTTTACAATGTAAAATAGCTAATGAACATCATAAACAAGAACACAACATAATAAACAAGATAATGGTGTTATTGCTCAGATGAAGTGATGAGAAGTCCTTTTCCTCATTCTGTTTAGTTTTCTTTCACAAGCTTTAAGACCATTATAACCATTTAAATACTGCTAAAGACTATTATAATGTAATAAAGAATTGCCAGAAGAAAAATAACTTCCTTCTGTATGAAATGAAATGAGAAGATTTTGTCTCAACCAAATCCCTAGAAGAAGCAATATCAAACAGGGGCAAGGAAATTATAAATTGGCTGAAGATATTCTTGATGATGTTTAAAAGGGAAAAGGTTACCTTACAAAATTTTATACAAAACTTCTATGAAAGAAAATGCACAATTTAAAATTCTTCATTTATTTGGAAAATGAGGAAGGCATAAAAATTTTAGCAAAATTACTTACTTACAGGAAAAGATAGTTGGCTGTTCTATGGGACTTAGCCAGTGAGTTAAAAGAAAGAAGGGAAAAGGTAGGGTACAGATAGGAAAGGAAGAAGTGGGGTGGGGGAGAGAGGTGAAATGGTATGGAAAGATTGGAAGGAAAGGAGTAGTTTGAGATCCAAAAACAGATAAGCATCGTAAATAGTTACAAATAACAGCTGTACAAGGTATTAATTACAACATGCCTTTTCAGTAAGATGATATGAAACATACAATCGATGATAGCAAAATTACTGTGTTACCACTCTTCAAGACTTTGTTGTGACCCTTGAGCTAGACCTAGGTCTACTGGTCTACAAATAATAACAAGTTGCTTATGGAAATGGATTTATTTATAACTAACAATTGCTCAGCAAACAAAGGTTCATACAACCTCTTCTGCGAAGCTTCTTTTCTTTCTCATATTCTGAGTATAAATATGCTACCTTCACTCTCCGTCCCCCTATGTTAATGCATAACAAAGTTTACAAAAAAAAATTTAATTAACAAGGAAAGTTTGATGAGAACCATGAACTCATAGTAGTTCCAAACTTGAACAAGGATGTCAAACCAACAGTACTGCGAGTGGAGACAAAATAATTGCCTAGGACAATACCTCAGACACTTCTACTTCCCTTCCAATTCCCTTCACTCCGTTGTTCTCTCAACTGCCTCGAATGGAATTGGATAATAGTCCTTAGCCTTTCTCTGATTTCTCCTCACACAAATGACTTCTTGAAGTTTCCTCCTTCCTCACACAAATGACTTCTTGATGTATCCCGATGATCGCACCAACCAAGATGAATGGATGAGGAAAAAGAAAAGTCCCTTTCTATCTCTGGCTCTTCTATTTATACCCAGTGGTGATATTCGAAATATTTAACAAAGGGTTCGCTAACAGAAAATTTTTCCTTAACAGTTTTTTTTTGCTCAAATGATGCATTAGCAACATTAGCACAAAAATTAACCTTAAGATACTCATATAAACAAAAAAGATGAGTTTGCAAAATTAAGTCAGTTAAAATTTAACATTATTTATGCCAGAACTATATTTTTTTTAATAAATAATAAAAAAGAGTGTTCAAAATGGTTTATTTTGTACATATTTTAATATTTTTCATTCAAAATATTTTATAAACATAAAAATTGGCTTTTTTTATCAGAAAAAGTTGTAGGGAAAGCAGTTAAACAAGAAAAAACTTTTTTAAATCATTTATTTTATCGTTGGGTATTGTTATAATAATAGACAGATGTCATTATCTCTCGAAATACAATATATTTTTTATTTTGCTGTCGATTGCCCGACACATGTTCCACAGCCATCTTGTATTTTCTTGCGCGCATGGGATTGTGGGATCTCTCTTATGACTGGATCTAGTTTCAAGAACTCTTTTGAGTTGATCGCGATTGAACCTCATTTCAGTCAAGATTGAAACGGTCAAGGGAGGTCGCACCAAGGCGAACGGGATATAGGCTCTAGTTTAATAGTGTTACAGAGTATAATATGTATATTTTAATATATTTTTTTAAAGAAACAAAACCACTGAGAAATGTTATGTATGTTTAACAAGGTTCAGAAAACTTTGAAAATGTTAACAATGGGTTTAACGGAACCTGTGCGAGCCCACTGAATATCACCACTGTTTATACCCCATATCTTGCTGTCCCCGCTTGACCTTTTGACAACCAATCAACAAGCCCCCTGTACACACACCTCAAAAAGATGGTTTGGAAAGAGAAAGTCATTTGTCAACCACAAACAACAAAACAAAAACAGACAAAAAGAAAAAAAAGGAAAACCTGATACAATAATAAACATAATAAAACTAACACAAAGCTATGTACAAATGATATATATATATATATATATCATTTGTACATAGCTTTTTAGTATTTGTTGTCAACCGATAAGCATCAGAGCGCTACAACCTATAATAAGAGAGGAATATAATGATATGATGAGTTTGCTGCTTTACATGCCTCCTATTTGCCATAAATCACTATGCTAAGTGTAAAGGAGAAATAAGATTTAAATACAAATACATTTGTTATTAGTTATTTTAATAAAGTAATTTAGTTTTCATAGTTGTTTATTTATAAATTCTTATATAACTGAAAATATTTCTTAATAAAGTTGATTATTTATTTACTTCTCATTTTAATTATTATTTTTTACATTAAAAAATACATTTCAGAAAAGCTAACTTCAATTAAAATATAAATTTCAAATTGTTATTGTTCATATTTTTCATAATTTGTTATTATTGAAAGTGATATATAAGTCTATTTGTAGCTAAAAGTCTTTTATTTTCTTTAACAATTTTAATATTATTACAAAATAAAATTTAACAAACTTATAGTTTTAAAAGCATTTCCCAAATTTATTAACATTTCCCAATATTTTTTTGTTGATTGAAACACAAACCCTTAAATATCTCAATATATGAATAAATGGACTTGTACCACTCTCAAAAGCAATGTAATATATCAATATATAGACTATTAAATTATGAATATTGTACTATATGTGACTTTTGAGATAAAACAGTTATCTATTTTTCCATTTCAGCTCTTTATCCAAGTTTAGCTTATTAGACCAACAGTAAATGATTTTTCAAATAAAACATTAAAAAAAATCATTACTTATGCTACTTATCTTCAGTATAATAAATAGTACTCTTAATAGGACAATATTTTCTAAAAATAAAGCAATTTTACATTAGTTAAGATTAAAACTTGATTAACACATACAAATATCTGCATGCAAACTTTACATATTTAAAGTTTCTCATTCTCTTGTTTGTGAACCATATCATCTACAATCAAATACCATTTCAATGATATGGATATACTCATATTTAAATTAATCAAATTTACATTTTTATTTCTCAACTTTTTCTGTATGACAAAATGTTCCTTTTTCTTTTTATTTCTTTCAAATAACAAAATTTTAGTATTATCCTCCTATTTTATTTCACAATTATAATCTTGTTGATGTTTTAACCATGGTCACGTGACCCATTTTTTAAAATCTTACTGCCATCAAATAGGACTAACAGCACAAAACCTTTCTCACTAATTTCTAGCCTTAAGGCTAGAAATTAGTGAGAAAGGTTTTGTGCCTGAGAAAGGCTATAAGGCTAGAAATTAGTGAGAAAGGTTTTGTGCTGTTAGTCTTAGAAATAGTTCTAGCTACATATGCATAGTAGTGCCATCAAATATTCTTTTACTCTGATTTTCTGATTTTCAGTTGTAATCTATTTCTCTTATATAAATTCTCCTATTATTATTATTATTACAATTACATCTTAATTCAGATACTACTATTGTTGAATTCATTTTTCTTCTTTGTTTTTTCATTTTATTGCTGATAAATTTCAATTTATTATTTAATATAGGTACTAGTTGAGATCCTACTTGTTTAAACTTTTTTTGTTTTTTAAATAATCCTTTAATATATGGGAATCTGTAAAATTTATCTCTAAGATTTCTTTATTTTTTCCATATTTCACATGCTTTTTTTAAGGGTAATTTTGGAATAATCATTAAGTAAATACTTATCTTGTCTTTTATAAATAACTTTTTCTATATCTCGATTTAAAGTTATATGCAGTAAAGAATTTTTAGTTCTGTTATAAAATTATTCTGTTTAATCTACCTTGGACAATATGAATAATAATTTATATTTTTTTTATATCACCATTTTTTATACATTTTATACATTTTAAATGTTAAATTATAATTCTACCTGTTTATGTTAATATCCAAATTGTTTATTGAATTATCCATTTCTTTTTCAAGTTCAAATCTAATATAGTTATTTATTTTATTTACCTTTTTTAATAAATTTACTCCTTTAAATAATTTAGTATCATATATTATTATAATGGATAATACCTTTAATTTTATTTGTTTCATTACTATCTATGCAAACTTTAGTCTTATCACACTGTCCATGTNGTTTTTGTTTTAGTGTATCGATGTATTCTGTAATGTGTGTGTTGTGATGTTCATGTTTTGTGTGTGTTTTGATTTTCTTGAAAATGTTTTTGAGTTGTTTCTTTAATTTGGGTGTTATGTTGTTTTTAGTGTATTGTGTCAGTCTGCCTAATTGCTGTCTAATATCATTTATTTGTGTTTCTATTCTTCTCTGCCAGGCAGGCTTGTGACAGAATTGTGATTTTGTGTGTCTGTCTGCAATTGTATTTTCAGACCATGATGTGTTACTACTGTGACTGCCCCAGCATAAACTAATGCATGAATGTCTGAGAGTGTAAAAATTCAATGAATGTAGTTTGGTGGTAAGTGAGTGTTTACATAATTTAATGTTTTTCTTACGTCCTTTGATATGTTGATTTTTGGTATTCGTGATCTTTGTGTGGGATCTGTACCAGTATATTTAGTATATTTAGTGTTTATTATTATTATTGTTATTATTAAGAGTATAACCACTATATTAAGATTATTTATTAATCAGAAGTGTTAAGTTCATTGAACAATTTGAGATATAGATCAAGGAAGAAAACCGAAGAAAGGATTAAATTAAAATACTTTTTTCCATTCCACAATGGATTTTTTACCTCCAACACATGCATTTAATTTTTGAACTAATTCTTTCCACATAATCAAAATGTTTTTTTCTTGTAAATTTGTTGTCAAATTTTCCACTGTTCATTTTCTTATTATTCTCTATATGTGTGACTAATATGTCTTTCTGTTCTTCACTTATTTTTTTAGATAATATCGCTATAACACAAAAGTAACTGTAACACATGCAAACTAATTGAGAAGTGATGGAATGAAGGTTGGCAATTAAGAAGTTAGTCACCAGATGTTGCCTGTACCACACCTCCTTCATAACACTGCACCTTGCAATAACGCCATCTTTAAACCCCGTCTTCCTACTGTTATGTAACCCTTACGTCAAGCTACCTTGTAGCATTATGAAGCTGCCTTATGTCTGTCTCCTCTGCAGCTATTTAATGTTCACTGATCATTCCTTTACAGCAGTTTGTTTGTCTTGTATAATTTTAAGTATTATAACTTTTTTACATTAATATCAACTAAAGAGGGACTATTCCGATAATCCGAAATGCATTTTGGTTATTTCATGTTAATTACTCAACTGACCTGGTCTCTTTTGTTTTGATGATATGAATTTTGTTTTATCTATTGTTATAAATCTTTTGTTTTATTAAATGTATCTTTGTCATTAATTTCAGGCTTCATTGACAAAACAACAAAATTATTTTAAGATTACTTTGAAGAAATATGAAGATTCATTATTATCTAGACTTTCAACAGCTACAGGAAATATTTTGGACAACTATGAATTAGTTGAAAATTTAGAAACAACTAAACAGACAGCTACTGAAATTACAGAAAAAGTGAAATTAGCAAATCAAACAGAAAAAGACATAAATGTAGCACGAGAATTATACAGAACTGTTGCAGCTAGAGCTTCTTTGTTATATTTCATATTAAATGATCTTTATAAAATAAATCTTATTTATCAATTTTCACTTAAGGTAACAATAACAATGAATTTTTCAAATAGCAATAAATTTAAAATAAAAATTTATATCATTTTTCAATAACATAAGTTAAATAATAATTTCAATATAATACATTAAAAATATATGTTTAATGAACTTAAAACTTTGCAATAAACTATTTTTTTTTAAATAAATTGATTTAATTTTAATTATTTTAAAAATGTTAGATTATATTGATCATATTTAATAGTTTATCTCATGGTACCTATACTTGTACCACTCTCAAAAGCAANTGTTGATATCTTTCGGACAGTGTTTTTTTCTTTTGCAGAATATAGTGTTCGTGTTACGAACCACATTGTTGAAGTTAAAACCCTTATAAGAGATAATAACGAGCTAATAATTGTGGGAAATGGAATAAATGTTGCATTTTCCCATCAAAAATAGAAAAAGAAAACATGCCGGTTGTTGTGAGATTTTATTATAAAAAGAACGAATAGTTTCTTCGTTAAGGTCGACATTCCTTTATCTCTCCATCCTTTCAACCTTTAAATATCAAAATTTAATAGCGTCAATGCTCCTTATAGACAATTCCAATGCTTTCCCTTATGTAATGTATACATAACAGCCCAGGAAGTAAAATTAAGAATGTTTACAAATGCATTTACTTTATCGCTACAGAATATTTTATCTTGTTTAGAAACATCGAAATAAAGGGTTAAAGAAACAAACGTCTTGTCTACTTTCAAAATTAAAAAAAAAAAACAACTCTAAGTAGGATCATTTTGACACGCACCATCTCAGTTAAGGATTAAAACCTTTTCTTTGCACACTTTTACACAACGAATTAGAATATTCTAGCTCGTTTGCCTTTACATACAACAAATGGCACGCCCCTTGACTAAAAATAAAATGGCGGACGTGTATTCAATTTCTTTAAACATGGAGTTGCTACAGCCACTCTATGTAGAATATTCTAGCTCATTGGTCTCGACCATCATTATTATTCGGACATCGCCATCTTTATGCTGTATAAAACTTCTAATATAGTTTTTAAAATTGAAAAAGTTATTTAAAAAAAATTAACTTTCAAACACGAATAATGAATAATGCTACTGTAAACTTCGAGTCAACAATACTTTTATAATAAATATTTAATTATTGTATTCGTCTTTAAAAATTTAATATCTATTAAAGGTAAAATAAATATTGCAGAACTTTTGACAAATTAATTCAAAAATTATAAAAAAAATTAATAAATTTACATATGTTCTAACAATGAAGAAACGTTAATTAACTTACTCGAATAAAATGAATGTAATTAATGTCAGCAATAGTCCAATTATAGACAATGTACAGCCAAAATACGTCAACACATCTAAGATAACTCCATGAGTTACATTTTCTTCATTTTCAGTATCCATGTCCTATAATATAAGTAGAAAATTCCGTGATAAAATTTAATATATATATAGTCGACCCTCCCATAACACACTTGATTATTTTGTTTTATATGAATTCCATGTTGTACGAGTCACTTAGATTTTACAGATACATGTGCTGAGCTGTGAACGGCTCACGTATTTGTAAAATCTAAGTGACTCGTACAACATGGAATTCATATAAAACGGAATAAACAACAGTTTATTGGGGGATCGACTGTATATATATATTTTTTTCTAGGTTTCTAGTACAAATGTTTAATTTACCATAAGAATAGCAAAATTAGTCATATGATCACAATAGCATACAATATGATTTTCGCTTCGGTTTCTTAATTCGCAGCCAATCGTCGACCATCCACCAGTTCTTTCATTTAAGGAATAATCCCAAAACACGCACTTCTCGCTTCCATTTTTATAATTATTAAACTATAAAAAAATCAAATATAATACAGACTATGTCATGTATATATTAGCAATATGATTATACCACACATCATCTAGTAACCTATAAAACATTTTTTTTTCTTGACTAGGATATGTTAAATTTATTCCTAAAAGTTTACTGTTTTTATTAGATGAATATGATTAAAGTTTGAGCAAAAGTGTTACTACAGTATAACTTAGATAATTCAAGTTGATGGGACTGCAAAAAAATTTGAATTATTAGAGAGTTTGTGACTGGAGTTCAAACGTCAAACATGTACTTCTGCTTGCCATACAAGTTTAACGTTTGAACTCCAAGTAAAACATGTTGCACCACACATTCACATCGTGCACTGACTCATGGGATATTGTTGAAAAATGGTGGAAATGTTTAACAACGATGAATGTTATCAGCAAAGGTAAATAAACAAATTAAACTAATTTAAAATATTTATAGGATGTTTAATAACACTAAATAATTATTTTAGACTTTAAATAGCATCTTGTCTGCTACCATAAGAAAAAATAGGAAAATTTCAATTTTTCCTGTTTTCTATTTTTCCTGTTGTCACAACATACTTCTGTTGAGGGAAGTAATGGCTGTAAATCTGTATTCAGATGAAAATTTGAAAGCTGCTTGGAAAAATATATCTGAAAATTATCGTTTATGGTGTAAGATATGCACGTGGTGATTACACTTCCAGATAGAAGTTAAGAAAACAATACACATAAAATTCCCTTTTCACCAGTGTTTATTTTCCTCTTTTTTACAGGATTCTTTTAGAGATTCCGACGCTCCTTATATTGATAATTTTTACAATTTCGGAAGTTAAGTTTTTCTCTCGTAACAAAATATTTTACCGCGGTACAAAACAAAAAGTGAAACTATGACTAATAGTTAAAAACTACTTACACTAAAAAAAAGGAGGAAGAAAAGATAGACAATAGGATAGATATAATAGGAAAGAATGGGTACCCAGTGCCGATGATCTTGGACTGCTGGTGGTGATGGCCTAATGGTGAAATCTTGTAGACGGTAAGTCGAAAAAATGACCCAGGCTTTCTAAACAAGCTTTTGGAGATTCTTATACCGATGTATGTGTTCTGACTCCTTTCGATCGCTAACTTAAACTTATCTTCTCCATCGTCCTTCTGTTGCTGCCAGAACAACCGGGAGGTCCTTTGCACACGTCTTGATTCTCCGACGTCTCAGCCAGAGAGTGAGTTCGAGTTCACCTTTTAGCCCTCAGGCTACCGCCTCTTCTTTGTGTTTGAAAGTAGGTCACCACCATTTTACCAGGAAAGGATTAGGGAAGAATTTTCTAGAAGGCGATAGACAAAGGAAGAAAGAAAAAGAAAGGAAACGAAGGAAATACAAATAAAAATATATATATAAAATAAGGCATACGGCCACAATGGCCACTGAATACCACCCTTTGATGTATTTTGGATGACAAATAGGACGTGCTGTTCCATCTGTGAACCCCAAAATTTGTCAAAGGAGCACCTTTTGCTGTTATTACTTGGCTAAATAATTTTAATTTTTCTCTTGTTAGTTTTATTTTGTCAATATTCAATAAAAATTTGGAATGGCTATTGTAAATGATATTTAGTATTTCATGTACAAATGGTGAAAGTTCAGTTTTTGTTCTCCCCAATAAAACAGAAATATCAAGTCTATTATGATAAACTAATCTTCATAAAAAATACATAATGCATCAATTTCAAGTGAGCATGATCCATTTTCACAAATAATTACACATGGAAGGCATAAACCAGAATGGAGGTGAAACAAATCATCTCTTGAAAATCTGTTAAAATTATAAAATTTTATAAGTATTATTAAGGTAAACAACTTTTTTACAATGAAAGGAGGACACTAATAAATTGAAAGAAAAAATATTGTAAATAAAAAACATTTTATTCATTGCAACAATAATATACTATAATAATCTCTGCTGCAGGCATAGGTACCATGTCATGTTTCAATAAGAAGTAAATAAAGTCATTTGTGCGTGTCTCTCTCTCTCAAGGTCTCCTGTGCGAAGAGCATGCGTCTCATAATTGCATTTTGTTGCACTGTACAGAGCCTTGATAAATCGTCACGTTAAATACAAGCATGTCATATCACATCACACGCAACGGATCAGTTCGGCATTGATCTAATACGGAGATTTACAGATTAGTCTTCAAATATCAAAAAGGAGGACATGTAGGAGGACACTTTTCAAGGGAGGACAGAACTTACAAAAGGAAGACGATTACCTTAGTATTATATAACTTATAGAACTTACAAAAGGAGGACGGTCACCTTAGTATTATTCCTTTTTTTCAATTTTACTTTAATTTATAACCACTTACCGAAAATAAAACAAGCAATCAGAATCTGTCATTTCATTCAAATTCATTCTTACTTTTGTCACAGGTATTGCTTTAGTGAAATGCTATAATAAAATGGATTCTTCATCACGTTCATACTTATCCAACAAGACTAATACCTCATCAGTAGACTACAAGTAAAATTTTAATTAAACACTTACTGTGTGAAAAAAAAAAAAAGATGAACATAGCCTTAGAGTTTCTGTGGTCACTTCACATCACTTTAAAAAATATTGAATTGAATAATTCCTGGATTAAAATCATCTGTTTCTTTACAATGTTATTTACAAATGCTTAAATAATCATTATTTTAATAAAATACGTCATAATTTTAACCCCAAACACAAAAAAATTGAAGGAGTTTAAGTTGATCTTCTACTCACCATGCTTGACATACCAAACGCCATTGTCAACCTTCTAGACTTGCCAGATGGCAGCATTCAATGAAATTTGTTCATGTTTTTGTGACGAAAATGTTGGCCACAACCTCTGTTCAGAACTTTAAATTAGGCAAGTTCAAATATTGGTAATAAATTGGTATCTCGGCTCCATTTTAATCTGCGTTTTCTCAGCGTGTTTTCGTCTGATCTTCGTTTTCTATACACCGTTGGATAGTACTATTCATCTGCCAACGGCGAGTGTCTGTTTTACCTAAATCGGTTAAGTAGTTTTTTATTTATCGGCATTTGTTTTTTTCGGACTTTGTCAGCCGCATCGGGTTCCCAGACCGCGATTGGCCCGCAATCGCGACGGTGTTTGATAGCATGGCCGACCGTCTTTAGTTTC